AAAAAAAACAACTTTTTTTTTTTTTTTTCACTTTTTTTGCATTTTCTTGAAATCTACCGGTCTGAATCGGTTCAAATTTTCAGGAAATTTAAGTTTAGTGAAGCTCTTTCGAATGACACCAACCGCGATGAAATCGGTCGTCGTTCAAAAGTTACAAGAGGTTTCCACACACACACACACACACACACACACACACACACACACACACACACACACACACACACACATACAGACGTACGGACATCATCGTAAAAATAGTCAGGGAAGCTTCCTGTGACCTTCAAACGTCGAGATCTGATGAAAACTCGATTTTTGTAAAACGGGGTGAAAACAATAACTTCCCGATTTTTGAAAATCTGAGATTTTTAGCGGGAAGTTAAAAATAGTCAATTTTTTTTAATCAGCCTAAGCTATATTATAATATAAAATTATAGGATCATATAGTGTAAAGATTCAAAATTTAAATAACATGTTAGTGTATAATTATATAATTATGTTATGATATTATAATTCATGCACTAAAAAGGCTATTAAAACTAATATTTATTATTCTTAAATACGTATTAGATTAAATTATACATTGCTTATTAGATTGAACGTCTTCCTATAAATTCTACAACTTTAAGATTGATAAAATATGAATTAAATTTTTGAAATTTATAAACCGGAAGTTCGTTGGCTATATCCGTATGTATGTTGTAAATTTTTTACAACTACACTGAAAAAAAAATTATTGACTGGAGTGTAAATTTTCTTGGCTCAAGAAAATATTGAGGAAGGTTGAAAATTTCTTGAATGAAATCAAAGTTTCTTGACCTAAGAAAATTTTCTTGAGCCAAGAAAATTTTTTCTTGCTCCAAAATAACTTTCGTTTTCCTTAAAATTTTCTTGGCGCAAGAAATTTGTTTTTTGTGTGTATATTAAGTTTTACCAATCACGAGAATTGGTAATTATGTTGCATCATACAAATATCTATCGTGAGTATAGCCGATTTGAACAAGTATGCAAATAAAGTATCCGCCGAGTTTCTAGTGATATAAATTTTATCAGAGTCGACATGGTTATCTCGTCATGGTTTCCTTTAACGTTGTTAAAAATAGAGAAAATAGAGAAAAAATAAACTGAAATGTACGGTTTTAAAGATGAAAATAAAAACAGCACGGCCACTAACATATAACTGTACAAAAACATAATACGATACTCATACGTTAATAACTTATACGAATAATAATGAGAATAAGTGAATAAAAATAAATATCAGAGGTACACGGAACGAAAATTAGGGGAACTATTTCTATATCATTATGGGAATGGTCCCATTATGCTGTAGGAATAATTCCTATACTATTATGAGAACTATTCCTATAATATTATGGGAATGGTTCCCATAATGCTATAGGAATGGTTCCCACAATATATAGGTTTAAATCCTACACGGAAAAAAATATTGGGACTGCCACATGATACATTCCTGTGGAAGATACATGACAGCATTTCATGTGACAGCAACATGATTTTCATGTGGCAGGCAATAATAGTTAAAACGACAATAATAATTAAATAATAATAATAATAATAATAATAATAATAATAATAATAATAATTTATATTATTAAGAGAATAATAAAAATTGTGTCCCCTGGATAGTCACATGATGAAATCGATTTTTTTAGTGAAATTTAGTGTCATTGCAAAGGACTTGACTTGAATTTGTGCCTTTTCAAGGTTTCATATCTAAGCCTAAACCTAACCGACTACTCTATACTACGCATGTAGTTGTTCTGATGATAACTGTACATATACTTTAAACATATTGGAATTCTCATTTGATCCTCATATTCCTCAATGAGGATTTTGAGGCTTTCGTTCGGATTTGAAACCTACTATATGCTGGAATAAGAAATAATGCTGTTTTCCAACCATGCATTTTTTATCTCGAGGAGTCTTTTCAAACTATTTGTTTTATTATCGTTAATAATAAATTTTTTTAGAGATAAGTATCAATTATTACTGTTTTTACTATCAGTAAACAAAAAATAGCTTCACTTAAATTAACTAAAAATTATGTCAATTAAGTTTACAAATTTTTGTGACAAGAAGATAGATAAAGAAAATATTAATTACATTACTATTCCTTATACACTTTTACTCATGACTATTTTCGAATATTGTACTCATTTTTTAATAATGTTTAAAAATTTATATGGTCACCATAAATGAAACCTTTTTTCAAACAAATTAATAGTTTTTGTTTAGTTTTAGTTTAGTTTTTATGGAAGTATTACGTAAATTCTTATTCTTTTCTCCTATAGTGCAATGTATAACCTCTAAAAAAATTTTAACTTTAAAATTAAATATTTCCAAAACTGTATGATGTAACAATCTCATTTTTTACAAATCGATACAGAATTATTATTATATATACTCTGAAAAAATGCAAAAAAAATCTATTTTCGTTCTGACTGTCATAACCCTTTTATGTAAAGTCGTTTTTTTATAAGGTCATTTAATTATTCTCATTTCTATCTTCTTTTAAGAGTATGAAACTTTTAAAACTCTATTCGACTTCAAGACATGATGGACTCTCATGATACTGATATGTAACTGAATCCCAAAATTTTTAAATTAACGCTAATTATTAAAAACTTAATTGTGATTGAGAAAAAAAAAACAGATTGAAAAATTTAAAATCTGAATAAGCATTTGCATTGATGAATCATTACATGGATTTGGTTTCCAAAAACGTTTCAAATGTTTTACAGCATTTAAAAAAATTAATTAAATTACCTGATGTACTATGTAAGTTATTACTTCAAAAAATCATTTAATTATTGAGTATCTACGGTTGCATCAGCACGTTAATGAACCTAATTCAATTTTTCGAACTTGAAGGATTATTTTGTCCATTGGTCACTGAGAATTGATTATTCGTTACGTAATAAAATAACAAATATGTATTTAGATTTTTATTGATATTATTTATTATCTATTAGTTTATTGGTAATGACTTAGTTACAATTGCATTCCTTAAACGTGAGCGTAGGTGTTCTTTAATTCTCGCCTAAAAATCAAGATTCCGTGTTTCGTCACATTAATTTGTACCTAACAGACATAATATGCGAACAAATGCTACAAAAACTATACTGTCAGATAAAAAAATTATCACTGATCTTTTAGAAAATTTTTTTTGATTTTTTAATAACTATTTTTACATAAAGTTGTGACATATTTCTCATGTTATATGTTAATTTGTAAATGTAACTTAAATTTTTTTGATGAAGCAAAAATTTTCTCCAAGTCCAAAATACAACTTTTCACTGAATGAGACTTTTGAGGTTGTAGTGAAGACTCTAAATCAACGGGTGGTTCACATTAAGACCTCAAAATCTTCAATGAGGATTTTGAGTATTAAAGTAGAGTTACTTTCTGTGCGGCAAATAAAACATCAAAGGATTTGAGGCTTTTGAGGTTAAAACTAGAATTTGTTTTTTGACTCGGGAATATATGTTAACCGCTAAAATCATGTTGATTGTCAATTCTACAATCATCATGGTAATTATTACCATCGCAGCTAGTAACATGATTATATAGTCACTATGTAACTACCGTGACTTGTGAATTATAAATAAACAAAAATTTCACTTTATTAAATAATAACTTTTGTTAAATTGCACTGTACTTTTTTAAATATTGACGTTTTTGAAGATATAAGCTCATCCTAATGTTACACTCATCAAGAGTTTTTATTTGAGTATCCATACGTATGTTGATATATTTTTCATATATAAATATATAAAATATATGAAAAATTGATGTGTAAAACTTGATCAGTAAAACCCTATCATCATAATTGTGGGAATTAATATATACTGATTGTACTAATTACAATCGCCGGATAGTTGCATCTATCATCTTAACTTTGCAAAAGTTAATAACCATCCTGGGGATAGTAGAAGCTACAAAATAGGGATGGTTACCGTTAATATAAAATTCTCTCTGTGTATACAATTCTCCCATTAACTCTACTTTGACAATAAATGTATGTAACAAATTAATCATTTTGATTGTTACTATAGATTTTCAAAGTTTTGTCGTGATTACTTTGTTTTAACATTTTGTGGTAAATTTAAGCTGAACTTGAATCACTTTGAGATTTAATTGCCGACTATATTAATCGTCATTTATTACTAGAATAAAAATAATATACATGATTAATTACACATATTTAATTACTTGAATTTAATCGTATTGAAATAATTAAAATTTGAAAATAAATAGTACAGGTTTTGATTTTATTCGGTTAAGTACTTTCGAAATAGTAAAAAAAATACCAGTAATTTATTTGATCTGTAATTTAATTTCTTTCATATTATTATAAAGTAATATAACAAATATGAAGTATGAATGATTTTATTAATTGAAGGTCTAAAAGCGGAAATAAGTCGAATAACTGAACTGGCAGTTATAAAGAAAGCGTTGCTAGAGACAACTTGCCTGGATTAAAGTGTAATCAGATTTTTGACGAGTATTCAGCATCATGATTGATCCAAGTTCATCTGATGAAGAAAGCGATGAAGATCAGAACGTTCGTGGATCAGCCAGTGAAGGACGAGGTGCCAGTGGTGGACACGTTTCTCGGCGTCGTGGTAATACTGGAGGCGGAGGCTCTGGTGCAGGCCCCGTCGGAAGTAATGTTAGCGGGTTTACTGCATCACCCGGAGGTCACAGCCAAGGTAGCAGTGGTTCACCAAGCTTACATGGTGGATCACATGGCCGTCAAATAGGAAGAGCTCAAGGTCATCCAGCTCAGCAAGAAACTGCAAGCTCTGGATTAGATGTACCTAATTCAGCAAGTGCACGTAATTCGCTATCACCATCGATGAGTGCCACTCAAGATGCTGCCAATTATGCAAAATCTGCGCAAAGGCCGACCAGCCCTTCACCGTCCGTTGCTAGCGAAAAAACTGAAGTTGATTTACAAGTAAATATTTATCTTTTAAATAAATAAATAAATTAATTATTTATATAATAAATTTTTAATTGTTTGATTTCAGGACAAACAAGAACGTGAAGAAGAAGAAAGAAAAACTCGTATACAACTTTACGTATTTATTTCGAGATGTATAGCTTATCCATTTAATGCTAAACAACCTACAGATATGACTCGAAGACAAATGAAAATTACAAAACAACAACTGGAAACACTATGTTCTCGTTTTCAGGTATATTTTATTTATACAAAGAAATTTTTATTAGTATAATGATGTATATATATATATATATATAGTTGATTTTCATGATAGATATATCTTAGACCTACGAAGCCATGCAATAAAAATTTCTAATTTCTTTAGAAGCCTCGCAGAGTCTTAATTCTTGAATCTGTAATATATTATCTTCAAGTACTTTTTATTAAATTAATCAAGTTTTTTAGAAAATATCGTTTATTTAAACTTTTAAAAATTAAAAACTTCCGAAAAACTTAGAAATAATGAATTTATGACATGGTAATGAAAGCTTTAATAAGTGCGATGTTATATCTTGAATTTTTGTAGGCTTTCCTGAAAGGAGAGACTCAAATTATGGCAGATGAAGCCTTCCACAATGCCATTCAAAATTACTACGACGTATTTCTGAAATCAGAAAGAATTGTGAAAATAGTACAAAGCGGAGCTTGTTCCCAGTACGACTTTCGAGAGGTGTTCAGGAACAATATCGAAAAGCGTGTTCGCAGCCTCCCGGAAATCGATGGGTTGAGCAAAGAGACTGTTCTTACGTCCTGGCTGGCTAAATTCGATTGTATTTTTAAAGGAACTGGTGACGAAGACACCAAAAGGCCATCTAGGATGCAACAGCAGTCCTTGAATTCGGAGTTGATATTGTCGAAAGAGCAACTGTACGACATGTTTCAACAAATTCTTGGCATAAAAAAATTTGAGCATCAGCTTCTGTTCAACGCCCTTCTGTTGGATTCAGCCGACGAGCAGGCTGCCGCCATCAGGAGGGAGCTGGACGGTCGCATTCAGAAAGTTAACGAGATGGAAAAGGTAATGAAGTTAATTTAAAATTTTAATGTGCAATTACTAAGTTATGTTTTTTTTTTCTTCTTCAGAACCGAAAGCTCATGCCGAAATTTCTCCTTAAGGAGATGGAGTCGCTCTACATTGAGGAGCTCAAGTCGTCTATCAATCTACTAATGACTAATTTGGAGTCATTACCGGTCTCCAAGGGTTCGATAGACAGCAAATATGGGTTGCAGAAGCTGAAGCGCCGTAGTGACCGCTCCCGCTACCGCACCCAGGGCTCTCTCGCTAAATTGGAGAGCGACTCCGCCGATTCCGATCCGCAACTCACTAAAATGGACGTGGGTTTGAGTTTTTCTATGGAAGTTGTTGTCATGGAGGTTAAAGGTCTCACAAGCCTTGCGCCAAATCGCATTGTATATTGCACTATGGAAGTCGAGGGTGGTGAGAAGCTACAAACTGATCAAGCTGAAGCTTCAAAGCCAATGTAAATGATTGAAAAAAAAAAAAATAAAACAATAAAATATTTTATCATGGTAATCTATGTTCTATATATTATTTTATTTTCATTCTTACAGGTGGGATACTCAGGGTGATTTTACAACGATGCATCCATTACCAGTGGTTAAAGTCCGTCTATATACAGAAAATCCTGCAATGCTGGCACTCGAAGACAAGAAATTGGGTGAAGTAATACTACGGCCAACTCCGTTGTCCTCAAAGGTACCCGAATGGCACCGTATGACTGTCGCAAAAAAAGATCCAGATCAAGATTTAAAAATCAAAATAGCTTGTCGAATGGATAAACCACTGAATATGAAACATTGCGGCCATCTCTATGCTATGGGAAAATCAGTATGGAAAAAATGGAAGAAACGGTACTATGCTTTAGTCCAAGTCTCGCAGTACACATTTGCGATGTGCTCATATAAAGAAAAAAAAAGTGAGCCGTCGGAAATGATGCAGCTCGATGGCTATACAGTGGACTATATTGAAGCCGTTTCTGCTAATATTATGTTTGGAACAGAGTTAGAAGGTGGAAGGTAGTTAAAATACTGCAATATTATTGACCTAAATAATATTATAGTTAAATTTATTTGCAAATTATGTTATTTTTTCAGGTACTTCTTCAACGCCGTCCGCGAAGGAGACAATATTGTTTTTGCCTCGGACGACGAGAATGAGTGCCATTTATGGGTGATGGCTATGTACAGAGCGACTGGTCAATCTCATAAACCTACACCACCTGTTTCTATTGCTGATAAAAACTCTACCATTAGCAAAATACAAGGAGATGCTGATCGAGCTAGAAAACATGGCATGGAAGATTTCATAAGCGCCGATCCATGCAAATTTGATCATCCTAGTCTATTCAAATTTCTTCAAAATTTAACTCTTGACTACAGGCTTAATGATCCATACTGTTCTTTAGGATGGTTTTCACCAGGTCAACTTTTTGTAATAGATGAATATTGTGCAAGGTAAAGTATAACAATGATAATTTACAATAAATAGTCGATATATGATAAATAATCTTATAATAGTCAAGTTTTATTATGGTAATCATTATTATTATTTTATAAAGATACGGAGTTCGTGGATGCCACAGACATCTCTGTTACCTTAACGATCTTCTAGATCGTTCAGAACGAGGCTGTATGATAGATCCCACATTACTCCATTTTAGTTTTGCATTTTGTGCAAGTCATATTTGTGGAAATCGTCCAGATGGGATAGGAACTATAACACACGAAGAAAAAGATAAATTTGCAGAAATCAAAGAACGTTTAACGCAACTATTAGAAAAACAAATTACGAATTTCAGGTAATAGTATTTGATTAGGATTTCCTATTAATTTTAAATCTGAAAGATTTTCGTTGTATTTAGAAATATGAAAAAATAACTTTTTTTAATTATTGTAGAGTATCTTTAATTATACATACGACATCAAAGTTTAATTCCTAAGCGCTAACTATTAAAATAGAGCTTGGTGACATCCATCAGTGCTTGATAGTAGTTAATTTACAAATAATGACATAAAATAAATTATGTCTTTAATTGATTTAAGCCTATTAAACCTGTTGTTTATCATATGCTTAAAACATTCCTATAATGTACAGCTTCCCTTGCGTTTTTAGCCCACCGTGGATACACAGCTTATACACCATTCAAGTGCATATGCCGTGTATTATACATAATAGTCAGATAAGAAGAAAAAAAATTTTTTTTGATTTGTATAAAAAAGTTTTTAAAATTCGAATTTCGACAGAAATTGAAAAACAATTTATTAATTGTTATTTTTTAAATCTCTAAATACGCATTTTATCATTTTTAAACAAGTCAAAACTATTTTTTTAGTTTTATTCAATAAAAAAAAATAAAAAATTTACTCCGTGGAGTGAAGTCCGTTAATAAAATAATTTTAAGGACATGTCTATTCACACTCAAAAAAGTCCTGATAAATCCACGCCGCGTCAATGTAAGGGCCTTTACATTCATACAGCGTGGATTTAAGGCCTTCACATTTACGCGGCGTGGATTTATCAGGACTTTTTTGGGTGTGAATAGACACTTAATTTTAATCCGTCTCGGATTTCACTCTCGTTGGGAGTAAATTTCACTCTCGTTGGGAGTAATTCATATTTTTAACTTCCCGCTACGAAAACTAATAATTTACAAAAATTGAGAAGCTATCGTTTTCCTCTGGTTTTGAAAAATCGAGATTAAAAAAAAAAAAGTCGATCGTTGCAAACTGTATCAAAATCTCTTGATTTCTTTAAGAGATATTTTTGTCGAAGAATGTGTTTTTTTTTTTTTTTTCGTTCAAGGAACTTCTGAACTGGATGGATCGGTTTTCTGTACCCAGAAAATTTTGTACGTAAAAATTCGCATTGAATCCTTCAAACACATTAAAATCGGTTAATTCGAGAAATATCGAAATTCAAAAATTTCGAAAAAATATTTTATTAAAACGACTACGGATCTTAAAGCTTGAAATGTTGTTGTATTTGTGAGCTCAAAGAGCTCAAAACTTCATAGCGGGTTAGTTGTCGGGCATTGTAAACTTGAAAATAGCGAAAAGTTCCAGGGACGGCCTGCAGGGTCAATCGTTTTTTGTGATTTCTTATAGTACTTGAAACATTCGAGATTCCTCGAGAATCAATATCAAAGAGATTCCCACTATTAATTATTGTTGGTGTATAAGTATTTGAAGATAATTATTTTGCAACATATTAACTGTATAATCAAATCAATGAAATATATAATATATTTTTTTATGTTATTTTTAGGTACACCTTTCCATTCGGTCGTCCAGAAGGTGCCCTAAAGGGTACTTTATCTCTTCTAGAACGTGTTCTTATGAAGGATATTTCATCAAACGGTCCATCTGATGAAGTTCGAGGGATCATTAAATCATGTTTAGAAACCGCAGCACTTGTTAATTATGAGATGTTATCAGCAGCAGCTAAAATTGAAGATGAATATAATGCTGAAGATGTTCTCCCAGGAAAAAAATTAGAAGATCTTAAAAGATTAGCTGAGCTTTGTGTTGATTTACTTCAACAAAATGAGGAACATTATTCGGAGGTATTAGTTAGGTTTTTAGAACTGAGTGTTGATTGTTAAGGGCTTTCGAGGTAGAGGGAAAGCATGCTTTTAAACAGATTCAGGTAAGGGTCTGAAACCTCCTCAGAAGACAAATCTAATTATTATTATTATTATGATTATTATTATCAAAATATTTATTATATTATGTTGCCTTGAGCTTATCGCTTAGGTTAATAATTCATCGTAGCATAAATTTATTTTGTAGAAATAGCTTATAGAATAGAAGGATATTAGAAATTAGTTTGTAGTGTCTTCTGAGTCCTCGAGAGTTCTTTGCCCATGGCTGGCGGTCCCACCACCTTGGGCAATAGAAAAATTTTCCACCGTATATGTGTGTCGTCCAATATTTTCACGTTTCGCTCCTACTACACTGCACCGCAGGCGTTCGCCTGGTTCAGCGATCTCCTGGTGGAGCACGCTGAGATCTTCTGGTCTCTCTTTGCCGTTGACATGGACAAAGTATTATCCGAACAACCACCTGATACCTGGGAAAGTTTTCCATTATTTCAAATTTTAAACGACTATCTTCGATTAGATGGTAAGTTATATTGATAAGTATTTTTATGTGTTCTATACATTATATTTTAATATTCAAATAAATTCAAACTTTTTCTCTAATCCTCTAAAAAATATTGAATAAATGTAACAGATAATTTGAAAAATGGACGATTTCATCAACATCTTAGAGACACATTTGCGCCTCTAGTGGTACGTTATGTAGATCTTATGGAGACATCAATAGCACAATCTATTCACAAAGGATTCGAAAAAGAGCGATGGGAAATTAAAGGAAATGGATGTGCTACTTCAGAAGACCTTTTCTGGAAGCTCGATGCTTTGCAATCCTTTATTAGTGGTCTTCATTGGCCTGATCAAGAGTTTAGGCAGCACTTAGAACAACGCTTAAAGCTTATGGCGTGTGATATGATAGAATCGTGTATTCAACGAACTGATGATGCATTTAAACAATGGTTAAAAAAAGGCGTAACATTTATCTCTACCGACTATATAATACCCTCTGAAATGTGTGCTATGGTAAATGTTATTTTAGACGCGAAAAATCAAAGCTTTAAGTTATGTGCAGTCGACGGAGTTGACGTTGTAAGTACAATCATTTTTTCATTCTCTTAATTAAATCAAAATCTAGTCAAATTATAAATATTAGAGGAAAATAATTAGATAGAACAAAGATTAAAATGAAAAAGCATTACCAAAATAGATTCTCTCGGTTATAATTCATAAAATTGATCGATAGAATTTTCCAGGTATAAACTTTCATATAACAAAGTGATACTTAATTTATAACGGGATTTGTATTTAATACATTTGGATTCAAAAACTTGGCTGCTGAATACCAGGCTGCAATCAAATTTTAAGCTTATGACTATTATTCTTTCTAGTTATATGCTAGAAGTTTTAATTCATCCAATAAAATACTTAAATTAGATAATAAAAAATTAAAGTTTACAATTGTCATTGTCATTAAATTCCGTATACAATTGTACTAATATTCTTATCATTTTAGCACCAGTACCACGCCAAAATTGATGATTTGATCGATAAAACATCGGCTAGTATGAATCAGGGAATGATTGACAAACTTGTCGCAGTTTTAGATGCAACTTTATCGAAATTATCACGTTACGACGAAGGATCATTCATTGGTTCAATTCTTAGTTTTACGGTACATTAATTGCATATTAACTTAAAATCTCTTTGAGTTTCAATTTGTTTTGAAGTGAAACTTCTTTAGGCCCATAAGGGTAAAATTTTTACGGATGAAACGTAATAATAATAATATTAGTGTCACGAAGATGTGCAGCGTTTTTGTCGAAGAAGAGGGAGACTAGACAGCAATTGAGATCGATTGAGAAAGGGCGAACGTAGCATGAAGCATATAGCCATTGAGCGAGAGTAGGGAGCAAGCGAGTGAGAGAGATCGAGAGAGAGTAAGGGGAATCGAGAAAAAATAAACACTATTAGTTGTTGTATTCGTTTAGTAGATAAATATTAAAACTTTAGATGGCAATACATCAATAATTGATGTATAATAATCCAAGCACACTATAATTAGAAATTCAGGAACGACAATAGATGCTATTTTTAAAAGATATTTAGATAGTGTTGAAACAAGAACTTATATTGGATATTTTAGTAATTATTATGCTTTGGTCACAACAATACCAATAGAAATTGCATCAAATAATATAAATATCGAAGAAATAAATTAAAAAAATTAAATTTATAATTTGTATTAATTATTGACACTTTTTTATTTTAATCGCAATTAAATTAATTAAATTCCCAACATATCTTTTTTTTCCCTCCCTCTGAGTCTCGGAAATCTAAAGCTTAAAAGAGAATAAATATTAACAAGATTTAAAAATTAGTTTGCGAAAGAAGTTTCACTTCTGACATGTGTACTTTGTACGCACGCACTTTTTTTTTTTGATTTGTACAAACAGTATTATTATAATAATAATCTGGAGTTCGGATGTTTAGAAAGTCTCTGGCAGTGGTAAAGAAATGGGCCAAGCTTACGTTAATTTCACAAGAAATTGTATGGATCAAATTCGTAGCAAAGTCATCGACGAATTATGGATTTTGAATTTCTTCGAGGTATAGTAACGCTAGTAATAATTTTATGAATCGACAACGATAAAAAACAGATGTTTGAATTACATCTTTATGAATTTTAGCAATGGTATACTGAACAAATCAAAATGCTTTGCACATGGTTATCAGACAGATTGGATCATAGTCTTCATCTTTATCAGTGTACTTGTTTGGCTCATATTGTAAAGAAAGTTTATTCAGATTTTGAGCTCCAAGGAGTAATGGAAGATAAATTGAATTCGAAGACATATCAGACGATAGCGCAAAGAATGCAGACGGAAGAAGCAACTTGTGCCTTAACAATGAGTGCTCAGAATGACGAGTAAGTGATTTATTTTCAACAAAGTTATCATGAAGTTTAATAAATAAATAATAAAACTTTTAAAAAAGGAATGTATTGATTAACTAGATAATGGATAATTTTTTGATTTCACAGAGTTTCCGATATTTTGTTTTACCTTTTCTTAGGAGTTTTGTGATTATCTCAAGTTTCGTAAAATAACATAAAAGATATCAGTTTTTAAAACGTAAACAATATTTTTTCGATTTTTGAACAAATTTTTAGAAAAATTTATCAATTTGACAATTTAAAATATTTGAATGCAGAGAATGTACTAATTAATGTACTGGTATGTAATAGTCCAGTTCCAAAGTATTTTGAGAAAAAATTTTGTTCAAGATTGTATTCTGTAGTTTACCTTAAATAAGTCATCAAAATTGACTAGGAATTCGACTAGTATCGATATAATTTAGATACTAAACTAATTTCATTTTAGTCATCAATTTTATATTATAGTATCAATTGATAGTAGACTCGTTCAAGTTTACTAAGCTCTTGGCAGATCTTAGCAGATCTTCTTGTACCAAAAACTAAAAGTGACCACTTTCTCTCATTTTTTGATTTCAAAAACTTTTTTTGCTCAATTTTGGATTGGATACGTGTAAAAAATTCCTATTGATAGATTTTATAAAACTAAAAAAAAAAAAAAATATCGATTTTATAAATTGCCATTTTACGATCTAAAGAACATTCCTTAATTTTAAGAGTATTGAATATAATTAAATTTTAGTATTTATTGGTTACTTAAAAATTAATTTATTTTTTAATACAGAGGACTTTCCGAGAATGGAAATGACGACGACGTTGAACGACCAAAAACAAAAGTTACTATTGTCGAGTCTGCAGGCGCGGATGATGCAAACTACGTCGCTAATCTTACCAATGTAACGTCTAATGTTGTAGGAAAAGTCGGAAGTATGTTTGGTAAAGGGATCGGCGGTCTTTCAACGAAATTCGGTGGACCGAGCTGGTTTTAGATTTATTAAATAGTAAAATCACGAAAGCAACATAATACATAATACCAAAAATTAACACTCAATAAAAATACTATTAATATTGTTATTATTGATTTTTATTATTATTAAAAAGAATAGAGAATATCTGAATTATACAAAAAACTACTTAATGCATTGATCTATAATAACGACACAAAAAACTAAGCAGATAGTAATACGATATAGTTCTATACGTAAAATTCATAGAAACGAATTCTTGTTGTAATTTATGTTATAAGAGTAAAAAAAAAAAATCGAGCAAAATATTTATTTTGATTGATAATAGATGATGTATATCTTAATGACTGAGTGAAATAAGTTATATTGATTTGTACAACAAAATGTAATGCCTAAAGTTTGAATGTAAGTGATCGAATAATTAAGATCATATTATAATAAAAAATATAAACTTAAACAAAATACTGGTGTTCGTTTGCCAACTGAATATATAATAACAAAAAAAAGGCAGACTCGTTGTATACATATTTATATACAAGCATATATGAGGGAGTATTAAAAATTTTTTGTTTTAGCTCAGACCTTAAAAATGGTTGTAACGGGAGATTAATTTTCCTTTTAATTATCAAACGGGTTCAATATTCAAAAGTTCTATCAAAGTTTTATAAAAAATGATTAATCCTGCAAGCTATCCCTCAAATTTTTGGCTATTTTAAATTTAAAAGCTATTAAAAATATACTTATAAATTGCAAACACTTAAACGAATTAAAATCAATTTTGATTCGGTTTGCGGCTATCTTTTAAACACATAAAACACTATGATTGGTAAAAAAAAACTGTCAACAACCGAAACCACTTTTTCAGGCTTGAGCACAAAAATAAGTTGTATTTTTTAACATTCCCATATATATACATATATAATGTATATCGCAAAGAATTTTTTTTTTGTAATATATGATCGAAAAATACATCATAAAATACTTATAGAAAATATTTTTGGCGTAAACATTTTGAATATTTAACGCTGTTAATTAATAGGAATAAATAATAAAGATAATTAATAAATGTAATGTTAATTACTATTGTTGAGTTTTGAAAATTTTGAAACTATGCTAATAATCGTACATATAGAAAAATACTTATGTCATCTGATGAAGTGAAATGTGATAACAGCAAAGGTATAACTTAGTGACCACTTGTCAATTGCAAGAAAATTCGAGTTTGATGTTACTACAATTCATAAAACAAACATCTCGCAAACAATACAAATAATATCTATATTTTTATTTGTAGACATATCACACCTATATTGTTCGTAAATTTTTCTACAAAAAAATCAGTAAAATTGAGCCCTTATATTTTCCTACACTATTGATTACTAATCTTCACAATTTGTGTATTATCTATAATTATATAAAATGTATAAATTGCTATTCCCCTTTTACAGTTTTAAAAGTTAGTTTGAAAAAAAACTTGTTGCAACAATTCAATCTCTTAACTTCTTAATTATCCATAGTATGAACAATTTTTTTCAATTATTAAAGAAGTGGCTGAAGGAGAATATTCTTTCATTCGTCTAACCACAAGTCTTATACGACTAAATTTGCTAATTATTGTAAATTTTCAACTTTTATAGTGATAACTTAAAAATCGCTCGTCTTTGAATTTCCATAGAATAATTTTTTAAATTAGAGCTTGTAAGTTTATCGTGTTACATAGATTTGTTCTTTTAAAATTTTTCGGCTTTATTGTAAATTTTTGAAAGCTCGTAAACTACTGTAATGTTTCAAGACTCATAATTTTCGCATAAATATTAAAGAACAAATATTATCAATATTGAATAAATTCTTCTTCTTGTCAAGTATAAAAGTAAAAAGGTTCCTGTAGTAAAATATCTTTCAAAATGTAGGTCAGAGTTAATTGCTAAATGGAAATCTCAAAATTTGTTTTATTACATATGTTTGATAAGAAAATTATCAATCTTAAAAAAATCAATAGCAAGTAATACCTCTAACAATATTAGGCAAATTTAAGATCTGACGCTTATTAACTAAATGCTTTAATTTTATTTAATTCAATAATTTTTATCATTATAAATTACAAAACCTTTGAAATAGAGGTGAGCTATCACGATTTTCTTATTTTCTTTTATGTAGAATTATTTCCATGACTATAAATATTGATACCCGAAAACAAATCAAACAAAAAGACAAGATAAACGAAAAAGATAGAGCTTTTAAAATGAATATCGAGGTTTTTGTAACGCAACCACATATCTCGATTTTCGAAGGTTAAAAGTATTAATCGAAAAATTGATAATTAACTATATCTAAAAAATAAAATAAAACTGTAATTCATACAGTAGTTGTTCAACAAATCACGATTGATAAATATTATTTTCAAACAACTATATTCATTTTTTATAAACCATTTTCTACGTTGCCTCAAAAGTTTTAATTTTTAAATTACGAGGCCGGGTTAAAAAATCCTCGATATAAAATTAAAACTAAAATTCCCTTTTTTTTTGTTGATAATAATTTTTTATAAGTTCAATTTTTCCCTTTGAAGTACATAAATAATTATGAAATATTCCCATTGTCAAGTTCTGAGGATATTTCGAGTTTTTAAAAATACACATAAAATTTTCAAAGGTTACCATTTTTAACGGAGCTCTAACAGAAGTTTGAAAATTTCAAAAACTTTATCAATTTAGGTATGTTTCTACGACTGAATGGCGTTTTTTTTTTTTTTTTTTCTTTTTTTTAACAAGAGTAAGCGTTCGGTAGTGTAAATTTGATAAAATAGGGAAATATGTCGTTAAAAGTTTTTTGAAAATAAAAAGATAATTAAAAAAGCAATTAATAATCGATTTAAACGACTATATTTATGAGATATTATGCTAGGTGATTTCTTATCTTTCATAAAGATTTTTAATATTTTTAAAAACGAAAACTAGCAAAATTTGCGAATTAAAGACCTCAACTTAATACACTTTTTCAACTCATAGTTTGCCCAATTTTTTTATTTTTTTAGTTGAATGCAAGCAAAAAATTTTATTTTTCATACTTTTATTGGTTTTTAGAAGAAAGGTAGTTGATCAATTTCATTTCTCGTATAGTATTATGTGGCACTTCAAAGGGAAAATTGTATGAATTACAGTTTTAAATATATATTTTTTGGAAAATAAAAAATAATTCTTATGTGATTTCAAAATTTTATAACTCCAAAATGTACTTCCAGAAATAATAAAATTTTTATTTAGAACTGTAATTTTTTTAATTCTGTATCCAATGTGCCAGCAACTAAATAAAGAATAGTAATTTGTCAACCTCTCTTTTTTTTCGGGTTCAGTTTTAATAATTTTAAAAGCAAATATTAGAGATTTTCTCAAAAATATTGCTAATGAATGTAAAAATTATTTGTTCCAAAAACATTAGTTTCTTCTATTACTGTAAAAGTAATTTCTTGCATATGTGGCAAAATACGTATACACATCATATCTATGTGGAATTAAATAATTTTGGACTTAATAAATTTGGAAAGAAATGAGAGTTTATTTATTGAACTTATTAGAAAAATGAGATAAAAAATTACGGAAACGATTGACCTTGAAGGCCATCCCTGCAACTTCCCGCCAATTCTATACCTAAACGCTTGAAATTGCACTTATGACGTTTTAGAGCTCTTCGAGCTAATTAATACAATTTGTGTATTATTTTGAGCTCTCCGAGCTCAAAAAATGACTTTTGTATCTTTTTGAGCTCTTCGAGCTCAAAAGTTTGATAGAAATTTGATAAAACACTATTTTTTGAATTTTCAAATCGCAATAACTTTTGAATGAATGAACCGATTTTCACGCGGTTGGTGGCATTCAACGCAGTTTTTTAAGCTTCATGAAAAATTTTTAAGTTTATATTGATAAAGCGGACAACTTTGGAGTAATTCCGAAAAAACACTTTTTTTGGTTTTCTTTCGTCAACGATAACTCACGAAAGAATCAACCGCTTTTGACCGGACTGGCGGCGATCGATGTGGTTTTTTAATCTTAAGAGCTGATTAGTTTTTTGAATTGATCGGTGGAGCCGTTTAAAAGTTATTCCAAAAAAACCACTTTTGAAAAAATTTTTTTTTGTAGTTTTTTTGCGATTTCTCAAAATCTACCGGTCCGAATCGTTCCTAAGTTTATTCAAAATCTAAGTACAGTCAAGCCCTTTCGAATGGCACCAACCGCGATCAAATCGGTCGAGCCGTTCAAAACTTATGAGAGGTTTAGATTCATCCACACACACACACACACACACACACACACACACACACACACACACACACACACACACACACACACACACACACACACACACACACACACACACACACACACACACACACACACACACACACACACACACACACACGACGCCGCGTCGATTTACTGCGCATGCAGTTGCGCTGTACTATTGTATACTTGAGTACTTATCTATTAGCACGTTGTCGA